ATCACATGATTGATACTGCCACCGCAATTTTCAAGGTTATAACTAACGAATGTTTGAAAGTAAATTTTTCATAACAGATATTTTATTTCAAAATAATATACCGTTTTTCCACTAATCAATTTGATCTCTAAAGAGAATGGTATGTAATTTCTCTGGATTTAACTGTGATATGCTACTGATATGACCATTGCTCACGTTCTGAAAAACAAATATATTTTAGAAAAATCTCAAAAAACATTCTGGAATTGACAACAATGCAGAAGTTTATCCAAAATGAAGAAATCAAAATACGCAGCATGATAGTAGGGATTCCAACGGTTTTTAGGTTTAGCGATGGAGGGAGAAAGGGAAACATTTTCGGCAAATCTCTTAAATTCTTTGTCTGTTATGCTTCACCTTTTGTTAACAATATGCCAACCTGTTCGAGTTGTTTTCTATATAAGCTCACGACAGCTTTTTTTAATAGTCACATCAGCGTAGAACAATTGTTTAGTTTCACAACGATGTGTTGTATCACTCTATCCGTCTCTAATGATGTAATATATTTTTATTTTCGATAGCTTCTAAACAAAATACCAATTTGGACTAAGAAGAGCAAACGTAGAAAGAATCGGTTGTCGGTGAACAATTTCAGAGTGGTGTTGTCTATGAAGATGTGTCAGAATAGGGATTCATCCTACGGAAATCTGATGGATAACTGTAGTCTGTCAAAAACCTGTACATTTTTATCTTCTATTTATATGCTTAATTAAGATTAGTGGATAAATTATTTATCAAATTCTGTTTCTCAATAGCAACATCAGGTGGCGAATTCGACCTGAGGGAAAACATTTTAGCTTCTTGTAACTTCTGTCTTGGACATTTTTCAGTTTTATACTTTTACTTTTGGAGGAAACACTTTGGACTAACTATCTATGAAAAAGCTTGACCTATTTCTGTGTCAGTTTTCAGAGATCCAAACGGGTTTTCCAAAGATCTGCTAAAACAAACCGGTTTCGGAGTTCTTTTAAAAAGTCGTTTTTGTTTATGGAAAATTAGCCTCGCGTGTCTTTCCATTGCTGAAAACCGCAACGTTCTATCTTACGCTGTTGTTGAGTTATTAAAAAGATGGCAACCTGCACTATTTCGGCGCCGATAATAATAAGGCTAGGCCGATAATAATATTTCTCGTCAAAAAGAATACTAGCTTATCCCAGTTGGTTTTCATCAGGACATAATTCGCATCAGAACATTCCCAAAAATCTTGAAGAACTACCGCCGTTGAAGTTACTATCCCCTTCTGAAATAGATCGCTTAAGTATTCTTACGCCATCAACACTTAGCTGGAGTTATACGGATCCAAGTCCTACTTCGAGACAATTCCTATTTTAATTAAAGCGATCGAGTGCCATTTCATCAACATCAGAACAATATCAACTCGGTTATCATTCCAGCTCAAGATTACCAAGCGGACAATATTATAGTTCAATTTTAGCTCGTTCTTACTCACTACAGGAAAACTTGAAAATGAGCAAAACAGATCAGAAGATAACATGAGAAATAACGTGGTTTTTTTCGGATCAGAATATCAATAAACCTCTGAACAACAAAATATAATTTGTTGTAGTGGTAGGAAAAATTTAAATTTTATCGGATTGTAAGTGTTTTTAGGGCTTTTATAAATCGGAATAGTTAATGATACAAACTCTTAATAAAAATTTTTTGAGATATGCTGTTTTGAAACAGAGACCATGCTCTATGTCACTGGAAAAAAAAGTAAGTTTCTAGCTCCGTTCCAGTAGGGGTACACAAAACTTATTCGAAAAACGTTACACTTCACTTTCACTGAGCGTGATAAGCCAGTCTTAAATTATAAATATTACCGATATACTAAAAAACCAGAATTTATAAACACCAGATGATGTTAATACTAATGAATTCAACGATTATTTAGTTCAAACCTATGTGAATAGTGTTAGATAGCGATGATAGTTTATATGGAATATACATAATGCAATGATCAATAATTTACCAAGGACAAACAATCACGTTGAGGGATTTTTCAAAACATTCACATATTGTGGATGCCTCAAACCAACATTGCCACTAAGCCCAATATGGTTGATGCCTATGTTCATTTCATTTTCCAGGTTCCAAGACTGAAAATCATTCCATCTGGGTCTTTATGGTGCACTTTCACCATCCAATAACAAAGACAACTGAAGCTCTTGAAATTTCGTCTAATTATAGGCGTCTAAGCAGAACGAAACGGTGAATAGAATTTGCATTAGAGTCACACTGCGACCATGTATAATATCGCGATTTTAAGGGGAAAACGCAATCGCGAGGTGATTGTGAAAGTTATTTAAAACAATTACCTTAACGCAAGCCACTATGAGGAGTCGAGTGCGATCGCTGTAGGATAAAATTGTAGCGTCACGATCGCAAGTTACAAATTTTTTGAAAAATAGAAGTTCAGCGCGCCGTGACAATAGCGACCTTCTAGCGATCACGGTGTGAGTAGAGCAAATGTAATGCGATCGCGGAGCAAGAACCGCGTTCGCGTTGCGAATGAAGCAAGAAGGGCAACTTGGGAGTATTTTCGACATTCTGAAATACAACAGGAGTTTAAGAAAGAATCAGCAAGTTCCAACGTCGTCTGAGTAAATAAGTCGATTTTTCTTGCCAAAATTACCATACAAACTACAACAGTTTCCAGAATAGTTAGTCTCAATAAGAGTGACACAACTGCCTGGAATCTTTATTGTCACCCTTCATTTTTCCTCACGTTCAAAATTGTGCGACAGCTTTACTTGCTGGTACCATTGTGAGAAATCTCTGATATCTGAACGTCAAAATTTAGGGAACACAAAAACCCTACAACGTTTAATTTAAACATTGTAGGGTTATGTGTTCCCTAAGCGGTTTAATGAAAAATCATAAAGATTTTGCACAGCACGTTGTTCGCTTTTTGAGCCAAAAAAAAACCAAAGGTTCTTTTGCTTACGCCTTTTCCGTACCTGTATTTATTCAAGGAGAGTGCATAAGCTATGAACTAATTCAACTTCCTTGCCATTTTCTAATTCAGTGGTACTTAGATCATTCAGTTACGAAATTTACTACTCATGTATGGAGGGGTGTTAGCACTCAGACGTCTACTGACGGATGGAAAGATAACGTTCAAAAACACGTAAAACAAAATTAGAATCAAGAAAATCTTGAAATTTCAGGTTTTAATCCGGTAATTAAAAATTAGCTCCTGAACGGTAGCTCGTGCAAGCTTTCATCCAAAGGAAGGCGCCTTTACACTATTTAATAAGCAAAAGGTCCAAAGAAGCCAGGCAACTCTGACAATACCTTCATATACATACTATACACAATATTAGTTTGCTGCGAACTCAAATATAGTAGTCACATTTTCAGTTCTCAGCGAATTATTTTCCATATATATGTACCAAACACATGTACAAGGTTATATATAATCTACATGGTTACACATGTATGTATGACATATACAGGGCATTGAGTATTTAGCTATCTAGGGTATTTAGGTATTTGGGATATCTAGGGTGTCTTGGGTATCTAGAGGTGAGAGATTATTGGAAGATGAACTGAAGCGAGAACAGCTAAACAAGCTGTTCAGATTTTCTTCTATGGATGTCCTAAATGAATGATAGTTTCATTACTTTCGCTTTATCCTTTACCAGACTAACTGTTCCTGGTGAAGCCATTTAATTGATATATTGTACAGAGTTCGAATCTCTGCAGGAAATTCTTCGTTTCGTTTTCTTTCCCTCGGTTTTTTCATTCTGTATATATATGTATATACCCGCTGCAACTAGTACTGAAGCGGGTTACTTATTCTCTTGAAAAAACTTAATCAGCTTATTATACTGCTCCCCGCTCTATTTTTGTCATAGAGATACACGATTACAATTACAAAATGTAAAGTTGAAACGCAGCTATTATTCCTAAAATTTTAGGGGTGAGGGTGAACGTGCAAATTTACGTGTATGTAAGAATTCTGAATATATACAGTTTAGAATTCTAAAATTCTGAGTTCTGCGGATTAGGGGTGACACTTTCCCGTTCTCGTTACTTTAACTAGCAACGCAACTTCGTTACCTATTACCAGTAACGCTAACGAAAATCCGTTACCTGTTACCAACAACAACAAGTAACGGATAATGAAAATCCGTTACCGGTAACAGGTAACGGATTTTCGTTCCCGTTACTAATAAGTAGTAACGGAAAACCGTTACTTTTTAGAGTAAAGTAAAAGGAACATGCTACCCCTACTACAGATAATAGCAGTGTTTCAACTTTGCATTTTGTAATTGTAATCGCGTAGCCCTCTTCCGTCACGATGTACTTTTTAATTAGATTTTTCGGCTGGAATATATGCCCTTTGTGATACGATATTTGTACAAGATATTTTCGTTAAAGCTATTTATTTGACTCAATGCACGAGCATGTTGATTCGTTTCTACTTAGAGAAAGTCGCATTAGAAAATGAAATACACTTTATTTTATATCATTTGAAGCTTGAAGAAAACTGATACAATTATTTTCGACAGACTTGTAACCATCTGTTTATGGTGCATGTCATTTGAATACCTGGTGTATCTCTTTAAATGCAGAAGCGTTTGAACAATCCATATTAGCTTTCTTCTTCAGGTTTGTCCACAGTTATTTCAAATGTGTAATCATCCTTCTTCAATACCGAGATTAACTAAAAACCTGATCAATATTTATTTTCTACGGGAGAAAGCTTCTAAATTATCAGACACAAAAAACTTCTACATGTATGACAAGTACAGAACAGCGTAACTTGTTAACACGTAGATCTCTCGATCCCACAAATACAGCAAACACTTACGAGAGAGAACATTATTTCCTCGTGTTTTTATTATTAGCATCTCATCAACAAAAGGGTAAAATATGAAAGTTTTCAACTTCATGTAACTCTTGTGTATTGTAATAAGGTTTAAGAGAAATGTCTTTGTGTGTATGCATCTTTTCTACAGCCTTGATGGATAAGCCATTTTCTGAATGTGAGTTGCTCGTTCTTCATTGTCATCCCTGTACAGTCGCGTAATAATATTCATTCCGAAGCCCCATGAATCGATTTCGAAATTGACCAGGTCGTGAGCGGCTTGGCTTGTACGTGATTCTCGAGTTAATATTTTAACCGTCTGATCACGATGTAGAATGAAATTAGAAGGAAGCAGGTAAACTATGTCTTCTTGATCATCGACTTTACGCATCAAATACCAATTAGAGATATCCATGTCTTCCTCTTTCGATGTATTCGCTAATCGAATGAAGCGTCCGTCAAGTGAACACTCATCAATTTTTATTGAACCTTAAATTGTTTATTCAAAGATTTAATGGTCATTTACACACGTTAGATGCTTACCTGTATTAGATCGTTGAATCATGGTTGTAGAATGCAAAACGCTCGAATTCGTTTCTATTGGTTCGATATCTGGTTCTACATGAACGTATTCAATGTGCTCACTTTGGCAATCCAGCAGACGTCGATAAGTGTTGATTTCGAATTGTAGCGTTGATTTGTTTGTTTCAAGTTCATCGTATGCTGCCAGTAGGTACTGTAACCTTGCACGCAGATCGGAATGCTCACAGTTATATTGATCGACGGCAGACCCATTATCTAGAATAAATCGAGCTGTGTCTCTCAGGGAGACAGTGGAAAACTTTCAGTTCTTTCGCTTACCTCGTCTCAGCGTCTCCAATTTTGTTTCCAGTTCATCAATTATCGTAAGTTGAGTATTGTATTCGCCTTGTAAAGTATTTAGCAGTTGTTTCATTTCCAGAATGGTTTGTTGAGTCGCCGACACGCCTCGAACTTCGTGAATGCTCTTCATTTGCGTTTGTTTGTATCTCTGCGCCTGCTTCACGAGCTCTTCGGATTTCATTCGATAATATTCTAGAAGTTCCTGTCTTTGAACCTGCGAGAGATACTCAAAATCATGACGAATTTCTCTAATGGCTCGTTCTAGCTCTAGTTTGTAGAACGCTGCTGAATCGATCGTGGTTGTACTCGATGCCAGCAGATTTAATTCATTGATCTCTTGTTCGTATATGAGAGAAAAAAACTGGATTTCCTGTTTGATTATTTGTTGCCCGTATTCACTCTTGACTCGTGCCGCTATCTCCAAATCGAGTTCATCGAGAAGGCGAAGAAATTCCACATTCAGCTGTTTTATATCAGCACGATATTTATCGATATCATTCTTGGACTCGGCCAAAACAAGTTGTAGTTGTTCTGCAACACAAAGAACTAGGTTTGAAACTAGTTGTGTTTCTTAATGGAAGATAAATCTCAACACGTACTTTTACTCTTCGTGTAGAGCCTGCTAGTTAGTGTCACATCAACTTTTCAAGATATTTTTACTTTAGCTGTTATTCAAGAAACACTGCAGAAGCTCCTAGTGTTTTCCTTCGTAAAACCCGAAAATTTAAAGGTGTTCTCTTACGAAATACATCAACAACTTTTATTTTGCCTTTGAAATAAACACGATTTAACGCTATAAGTTGATATTCGGAGTTGATATACTCTCCCAGATGAACCGGGTAAAAAAGAATTTGGATACCAGTGGAGCCTTAACATATTCAAATTTTAATGATTAATCAAGGAGCAAATGAGATATTTCGAATACTTTATTATACTCTAGACGATAAACATTATCATATTCTGGCGATTTTGATTATGTAAAACATGGTAAGAAAGCACCCTATAATACAAATTTAACTTACCAATTTCGATTTGATTTGCCTTCAATGTCGATTTGAGGGTGGACATTTTCGCCTGATCAGCATTCCACCATTGTTCTATACCGTCGTGTACATGCTTGTAATGGAACGTATCGAATTCGGCACGTTTCATTTCGATTTCACGTTGTGCTTTGGTAATGACAGCCGCTTCCATCGTTTGTCGAGCTTTATCCATCAGTGGTTCATATTCCTGTCTCAATCGAGTCGAATCGAAGCCCCATAGCCGCTGGAGCTCCTGTAGTTCAATCTGCACATGTTTATTGAGCGATTCCAATTGTTTTACAGAATCAATATAAGTCACAAAACGATTGTTCAATTTCGATAATTCTTCTTTCTCGTATTCATGTCGATCGCGTATAGTGGTAACGATTACGATCTTTCTACCTTCGCCTACAGCAGCAGCGTTTGGTAACGTTCTCACGCTGTGTTCAGATGCTTTACGACGAATCGTCGTGACATGCGATGATGATGCCATTTCCAATTACTCTGAAATGATGGAAGCAGGAGCTATTGTTTTGTTACGTCATCACTTCTAGTTTGGAAAACCCTCATGGTTCTACTTGTCATCAATCGACTGAACCAAAATATCATACTTTTCTCCGCACGATTTATTTCTAACAAAACGGTTTTCAGGCGCGCTAAAACTTTAGATCTTCAATAAAAACGGCAGGGTGATAGCTCTTCTTTTTGAGAAATTGATTGATTGATCGTCTGAAATAGATGCATGTAACTATGGGTTCAACTAACTCGGAGCGTTCATCTAGTAAGTGCTCTGATCGAAGATCATACTTTTGAAACTGTTGACTTAGCTATTTTCTACTCGTATGACCAAGGTTTTACACGTAAACGTGCGAGATTTCACTTGAATAATGATTGTAACAATAAGTGTGGTGTGCGGTATGCTTGTGTGGTAAACTTCGTGTTTATAACAGGAGAAGGACTTTTTTTACTCTTGTTCGTTGCAGAACAAAATATACAGAGCTGATTTTTGTGGCCTTAAGATATGTTTGCTGTTTTTTCAAAAGAAAAGTTTATTTTCTATATGTCTCTCTTCTCTACTGTTGACCACCATCGATTACACCAAATAATCCGCCCATTTATTAATATCACCACAACAGCACTCATTTTTCTAAGTGTTCCATGTTCGTGAATAAGCTAAAGAGAAAAAATTGATTGAAAGCTTTTACAATTATAAATGTTTATTATCGTTGATAAATCTCGACGAAGAGAGCGAAACAGCGCTTAAAAAATAAAATTTATCAAGTAATTCCTGCGGTTAAAAAAGCGAAATTCTTTTTACTACAAGAGGTTGGCTGCCTCACGTTTCAGTTCCAATTTTCTCTTTCGATTATTCACGTCTTACGAGTAGAAAATAGCTAAATGAACAGCTTTAAAAGTGTAGTCTTCGATCAACGCACTAGCTAGAAATTTTTAAACGAAGACTAACATAAAACGCGACGTACAGGTTTCAGCATGTTTTTCGTCGACGTGAGCATAAAATCATCTAAAAAGGTACCGGTAGAATTTTCATCACAGTGTCATTTTTTTGGCGTTCCTAGGATAATTACCCCCTCGATGAACGCTGCTTCATCCAAAATCAAAAATTAACATTTTTTAAAATTTTAAAATTTCGCATTTTTTCAGTATTGGAGCGGGAGCGTAGGAAAAAGTTTTTCGAATAAGCTTTCGTGAGGGACGCTGAAATTCGATTCTGAACAACTTTTATTTGCGCTCCGGGACTCTGAAACACCATGAAAGGATTGTCAAAATTTGCCACCTTTTCTCCGCAATGTAGCGTCTCAAGTATTTTCAATTTTAAAGATCGATATTAAGAAATTTATTGACAGCAAACTGCTATCCCATCGATAAAAATATGATAAATTTCTCAAAACTGAAAACCGCACGTCTCTATCTCATTTCTGTAAAAAGTTATTCAGAAAATATCCGAGAGCATTGTATTTTGAAACGCATAATAGACCAAAAGCCGAATTCGGGAGGCCGGCGCATTTCAGCTTCTGTTCATTCCGTGTAATTTGCACGGTTTGATCATAATCGCCCTATTAAAAATAGTAGAGTGATATAATTACCCCAAAGCATATAGATAGAAAAAATGATTACATGCGCCTCCCCGCAGAGAAAGTACAGGCAAGATCTCGAAAAAGCACACTTTCGCCCCAAAACCTATTTTCAAGGCGAAATCTGAATTTGTCCGTCGAACATTGTCCGGGAACGATGACAATCCTTTCACATATCAATCTCGTGTGGCTCTATGATTTCCGATTGCTTACAAACCCGAGGTTTCAAACTGAAAATTAAAAGTTTCTTTTTCTAGGAAACTATAAGTCCATCAATCTCCAAACTCTTTTCATATATATTTTGAAGTGTCCTCGGGAATCTGGTAAAGCTTGACTTAAATCTAACTGGAAAGGGGAACCTTCCTTAAGACGATCAATCAATCACTCAAACAAAAGTGCTGATTTGTTTGACATCCACTCTGCCGTTTTTCTTAAAGACATAAAGGTTAGCTTCTAGCGTGACATAAGCTATGTAGATAATTAATTTAAACCGGAAATATCTCAGTAGAAGAATCTAGTGTTTTATCCTTTCGCAAAAGAAGCATATTTCGAATTTTATTCACCTGCGTTTAGTCACTGATGTTAACATTATTTCTTCGCTTGCTTTATCACTTACTAGCGGAGGTACCCGATGTAGAGTGAGTTGCCTTGAACTTTTCCATCTTTAACAGGACCTTCCCCACCGTGCATAAATTGAGATGCTTAGTCACACCGACTATATGATGTGAGAATTTAGTTTA